TAGAGCTATATGTTTTAATCGTATTTTTCTATGCATAGTATTTATATCCAGGAATTTTTAATGTGGGAAAAATGATAAAGAAAATAGATGATGAAAAAATACTTATGCAAATTGCTTTGCAATGGAAGTAAAAATTTGTAACTAATAATGAAAGTAAGATACAAGAAAGTCTAACAATATGCACAATATTACTGCCATATGGATAGAATCAGATGGTAGTCTGTGTTAGTCTTTATTAGCTATATAGGTCTCATAACAAAACAATTATTTCAGGTTGATCTTTTGAACTAAAGGGGAGAAGGTGGAACGCAATACTGGGACACTGTAAAGAGAAATAGTCCCATTTATGGATTGCTAACATTAGAATTAAATTTAACTTCTACATAGCAACCCTGCATTTGATTAATGATACCTCTTTTCAATGCTGGTTACTTCAAGAGCCTCAGAATGTGTCTTGGGTCCAAAAATTGCTTAATCCTTCCTACTATTTCATTTCCTCAGAATTCTACTTGATGTCTGCAAAACAGCTAGGGCAGCTGGGCTCCTGGCTTAAAAAAATGAAGCCTGGCCAAAAAGAAACCAGGAAGGATTTTTACTCATCATTAAAAATTCAACTCACAGAATGAGATGGAAGAGTCCATTTTTAATCATTCAGAGAGCAGAAAGACTCCCTACGTCTGATTTACCCAAATTGGTAGATTACTTGTGTGTTCTACTAAACGTCTCATTTTGTCTTGTCTGGAAGAGCCCCAAAACAGCCTAAATGCAAACTGTGGGGCTACCTCACACATCCCAAGATCAAAGTTCATTGAGGGCTGTGTAAGCAGAGCTAGACTGAGAAAGGCCAGGAAGGCTCATTCTCTTCTGGACGTAGTGGCTCAGGGCATAGCCCTGGCCTAGGCTAATGTGGGAGTTCTCAGAGGCCTGGACTGAACATTCCTCTTCCACAACTTCAACATCCCCTGCCCCATTCATTCCTGACAGCCTCTCTTCTCCACCACAAGTTTTCTCTAATGGCGCTGCATAGCCAAATCAATGGTGTTGCCAACATTCTCCGTGAGGGGTTGCCACATTCAACTCTATTAATCACCCAGCTCTTGAAATTCCTTCCTGCTTATGTGACAGTTCATTATTAGTTCCTCTGCTGTATTCTGCTGACCTTTCTCTACTTTGCTAGGTTCTTTTACTTCCCTAAATAATAAACATCTTCTCCAAACCAAGAGTGTCTCTGATGCTTTGCTCTCCTTTCTCCTCATCAAGTATGTCAAACCCACAAGTCCAACTTTGACTCTTCACCCACCTTTAGCTTCTTGTCTCCACTAACACACAAACCTGACAAGGACTGACCTGGCCTAGCTGTGGTCTGCAAATTCCGAGATGGCTCACTGTGCCTCTTGCCCTTGGTGTGCACACCTTTGTGCCATCGTTTTCCCTCCAGTGTGGGTTGAGCCCGTCCCTTGCGTATAGCCAACAGAATGTGGCAAGGGTGAAGGAATTGAGCAGGTGTTATTAAGGTCCCTAATCAGCTGACTGAGTTAACCAAAGGGGAAATTATCCTAGTTGGGCCTGAGCTAATCAGGTGAGACCTTTAAAAGGGGGTATAGGACTTCCCTAAAACAGCCTGAAGCAAGAAAGACACTTTCCCGTTGACCTTCAAGAAGCAAATGACCCTGTTGTGAACTGCTTTGGGACAGGACAGCTGAGGGGCCCAGTCCTATAATCCCCAAGAACTGAATTCTGCCAACAATCTGAATGACCTTGGAAGAGACCCAACCTCCAGATGAGAACACCAGCCCTGGCTGACACCTTCATTACAGCCTGTGGGACCTGGAGCAGAGGACCCAGATTAGCTGTGTCCAGAGGACTGACCCACACAAATGGTGCATTGCTTTAATCCAATAGGTTGTGGTAATTTGTTTTGCAGCAATAGAAAACTAATGTTCAGAGCCTTCCAACTTCTTTACTATTGTCCTCTCAGGTTCAAAGCTTTACAGCTACCTGTGACTCCTTTCCTTCATCAGATACCAAGACTTGTCATTTTTTTTCTTGACCACTATTAATTGAATTAAATTGCATTCCTTTACTTTATTCAAACCCCTCATTTATTCAGCAAATATCGGGTTGTTGAAAAAGCCATGACGCATTTTTGCAACAAAAAACATAGAAAAAATATGTCATGACTTTTCCGACAACCCAATATTTGTCAGACACTGTGTCCAGCTCTGGATATGCAATGATGAATGAAATAGACATGGTTCCTGCCCTTATGCAAAGTAAAGCTTAGTGGATCAAATGAACATTGAACATGTAATAGCAAGGTGCTTTGAGAGAGCTCTGCAGGGGACTTTAATGAGTCTGGTTTGGGGAGGAGAAAGGGAAGATCTTTCTATTTCAAGCCCGAATTATTGTGCCACCCTTTTAGTGTGTTTCCTTGCTTCTCATTCCTCCAGGCGGTACACATGGAGTTACTGGGGTTCACGTTTCTCAAAGACATTTTAAACCTATTGGCCTGCGAGGACTTTCAATGGCTCCCTCTTACCTCATAGATATCATAAGCAAAATATTAGTAAGGGTGTAGCAAATGTCAACTGTCCCTTATCTAACATAGGCCCAGAGAGGTTTCAAGACTTGGCTGAAGCCACAAAAGTGGCAGAAAGAGAACTGAATTTCCTATTAGCTAAGTGAATCAAATTATCTTTTTACATTATTGGTACTTATTCGATATTATAAAAAATTATCTCATCACGAGTATGGGCCTCACAAATGTTACAGATTAATCAGGTATAGTTCAAAGAGGAGAAAGACTCAATCCATTTCTGGCCCTTATCTCAGGAACATTTTGATTAGACTACATGCGTCAAGCTATTCTAAGATCAATATCTGGTTAATCCAGCTGGCCTCACAGCCTATGACTATAAAATGAGGGTCACACATTTATACCTAAATTACAATAACTCCGAGACTCCCACCTGCCAAAGAGGAATAGAGCATCAGTGTTGATGACCCCGATGCTTCAGCCAGCCTCTCTTTATGCCACGGTTTAGATTCTAACAAGGCACAAATTCCCTTTTCTCCAAAGAACTGCCCTCAGGAACCTCTTCATTGGGAAGGATGTTCCAACCCTCCACACTTTGGCTAAACTTCAGCCAATGACTGGCTGAAATACAGGCTCCAAAAACTAGCTCCCTTGCCTCAAAGCAGGACCAACTGTGCTATGCTAGGCGCTGTCCAGAGCTTTTGCATGAGGCCTGGCTGAAGCCACCACCCAGCTGAGACCCCGTTCTTGCGCGGCTGTCTTCCCTGCCTGGTCCTGCCTTCCTCATGCACTTCTGAGAACAGTCCTCAAATCAATCCCTTGAATAAAAATCCCCACCTCAGACTCTGCTTTTAGGGAACTTATTCCAAATGATGAATTTACTCCAAGTATTTCTCATTTGTTTCTGGGAGCCACCCATGGGAGCCTCATCTGTGTCTGCTGGTTAGCCTGTCATGGAGTCTCATGAGGCGTCCACCACCTTTTCCGTGCCCATTCCTTTCACTGCTGGCCAGGAATCTAGTAGAATGAATCCCACTGCTGAAGGCTGTCACTCTGAGAGTCAACAATGTCCATGCCAAGAATGCTGCTTTGGGCTATTCCGCAAACTGCTAGGCCCTCAAGATGCCACAGCTGACCTGACTTCCATGCAAATTGGCAGAATGGCCTCCACTTTCACTTTCTGGACCCCGACCTGCAGGCCCCGGCTGCAGGTCTTCTTGTGTCCAAAGTTTCAGGAGGTCTGGCTCTTGCCTTTATTTTTCTAATCCTGAGGGTTAAAACTCATTTCCAAGGGCAGGTGGCAAAGCTGACATCATTCCTTTAAAATCTTCTTGCAGCCTGTGCCCCTAACCAAACACATCCCTTCTGTTCCAGTGAAAAAGCAACGCCCTGCGGCATGCGTGAGGGTACATCAGGGAAGTGTTGTCTGAGTTAGCATCTCTGGCACCCAGTTCAAACGTTTTTTTTTAATTTGGTTTTTATTTTAAGCCTGTAGCAAGAAAACCTTCTTCCTGAAACTATTTTGGATAGAGAACTTCCATAAAGGAGAACAGATACAACCTGTTTTTAAGAAATTCTTCTTTCATGAAAGTTATTAAAATGTGCTTAAATACACATAGGAGAAATTTTCAAAGTGTAATTCTTCTAGCTTACAAAGTTTGTTTGGTTTTAAAATAGGAAATGCTAGAATGAAATCCAAGGTGTTTTCCATTTCTCTTAGAGCTTTTATGTATATGATGGTATTTTCTCTAATATTTTATTATAAACATTTTCAAGCATACAGCGAAGTTAAAAGAATTTTAGAGTAAACATCTGTATACCCATAGTCCAGATTTTACCATTAACATTTTTCCATATTTGCTTCCCCATGTATGTATACATCTATCCATTCCTCTGTTAATTCAACTTCAATCTATGATGGCATTTAATTATTTATTTATTTTTTTAAAAAAGATTTTTATTGGGGAATTGGGGGGATGGGAACAGTGCTGGGGAATTGGGGAAAGGGGAACAGACAAGTTGCTGTCGTTTTGTTCTTCAGTCTAGTTGTGGAGGATGTTGCTTCACTGGCCCAAGTTGGCACCATCATTGCGCTCCTCTCTGGCGAGGCAGATCAGTCGCCGGCTTCTGGACGGCCGCTCACTGCGGCTGCTGGCCGCTCACGCTGGCTGCTGGCCACACACGGTAGCCCATGGCAATCCACTGCCACAGGGACTGCAGCCCACGCCGTCGCCGGCGACTCATGGCAGCCCAGCTCCAGGTTGAGCTGTTGTTCAGCATCTTAGCTGTAGAGGGCAGTGTCACTGGCCCTCATATGTGGGATCCGAACCGGAGCCCTCTGGCATCCCAAGCGAGTTCTTAACCATCGCGCCACTCGGCCGGCCCTAAAAGACATTTTTATACTTTGATTTAGAACAAGAAAATCCAAGTAAAAATAAATTCTACTGGATACTATCTCTTCAACAAAAAAAATATTAGAAGCATGATCTGTTATGGTGTTAAGAAGCTCTATTTGACAAAGGAATCTTAAATTACATTAAAAAACACCATTTCTGGGAGAATATTGCTTTAAAGCCATGGGTAAATCAGTTATGAAGTAAATGACATAGAAAGCTGAGCAGAATGCCAGGTAAAGGTTTAAGTAATAATTCTCTGAAGCCCTGGTTTGTTCAATCACCAATGCGGGATGCTATTTTTCTTTAATCAGTAGGTAAATGTGCCTATTCATTAACGCTGTGTCTAAAAAGTCAGAAACTGAACTTCACTTACAATATCAATGCACTAAATGAAACCACGTATTTTAACACAATGATTTACAAAGATCGCAATCACTTCTCTAACATTTACATTTATATGATCTAATCACTCGAAGTGTGTTAAATCTCAAAACAGCAATATTCTATGCTGTGATGTCACTTTTGATAGGGCTCCAAGAAAAGAGACACAGAAGTTTGGTTTAGCGAAAAGCGGACATGCATTTTGTTTCACGCTTGTAAAAGAAAAATCTGATCATGTTGGTACACCCAAAGTAGTTTTATCATCTCAAATAAAATAACCAGACAGTTGACTCAAAGAGACATTTGGCTGATTTACTGCCTAAAATTACTAGTTCCTTGAGACTATTATAGGAGCATGGAATGGTGTTGAAAACCAGATCCCTACATAAAAACAGGGCAAAACCCAAAATCCATGGACCACATTTACACCCAACCTTGGTGACAGGGTATCTCTATGGACCCCAAAATACAACTGGGTGGGAACAAACCAACAACAACCACAAGATCTGCCTGGTACCAGGATCTGTGCAAGGAGAAGCTATAGCTTATCTGCCAGATAGGGAACAGATCTCAAAGCTGCCAGATAGGGAACAGATCTCTAAAGGAATTCAGTGAAAGCACAGCAGGCCAATTAGAAGACAGCAGCTAAAACTGGCCGGATTTTACCTCGGGAAGCTACTTGGCACTGAGACTGGGAAGATAACGCTGCGGGGATCCACTCCTGAGCCATGGAGGATGAGATCTGATGGATACATGCTTCCCTTTTTATCCCTCAGACAGTTCTGAAGCACATTTTATAAGATTCTCGAGGGTCTTAAACATCAGGGTCTTCTGAATCAAGCACTGGTTGCACCATTTTCCTACAGCCATGGCCAACTCTATAATACAACCTTGTGTGGGCTTTCTCTCCGTCTCTCTGATCTCTCACTATAACTCCCTGGAATCTTTCCCCAAATCTTGAGCCCAAGTGTCAGGGTTGGTCCTTCGTTCCTAGAAGCAGAGGAAGACAGAGGTCACACAGGTATGGAGGTGAGTAGGTTTGATGGTTTAGAATGGTGGGGAAATAATGGAATTCATGTCTGGTTGCTTCTATTTTCTCAGTGAATTATATTATCAGGTTAAAATATGAGGAGAAAAGTAGCGGGTGTGGAAGTTTGAGAAAAACAGAGGAGTGAAATAATTCTGCAAGTTAGGAACACAAACATATTAGGCAAGTGGCTGCTGAGCTGTACTGAGTGTTCATGTATTTATTTCACTGGAAAGACTGCTACCTCATGTCTATCCCATTTTCAGGGCAGGTGGCTTTTTTAAGGCCCAGGGTTAAACTGGATACAGTTGATTTTTTAAAAACTCTGTTACCAACATGGTGTAGTTGGAAAGATTACAAGGAAGAAGAGTAAGATAGCAATCTAGCCTCTCAAATCAAAAGTGAGGTGGCAGTGAAGGACAGTGGCAGTAAAGGTCAGTCGAAGGACAACTGCTCAAAGGAGAGCATGGTCCAAGGGAAGACATTTAATTCGGGTCACACAACTGGCTCGATGTTGTCAATGTCCATCGAAAAACTCCTTCTGCAAATGCACAGATGATGTTTTCAGAAACAGAACTATTTAGAATGTACATTTTCCTCCAAACAATGCATTCAACAGAATGAGACGGTTTCCCCTTAAAAAAAGTTGTATGAATCTATTACAGAGGTGGAGGTGAGATTTATTAAATAACTGTAGGCTTCCAAAACCAAGAGCCTAAATAGAGAAGTTACTAAGTGCCATGCTGAGCAGTGACATCATTGTTTCCCTAGTTACCCAATGCAGAGGCAGAAATGAATAAGCTAGATATAAATGCAATATCTAATAGGGTGGGAGTGTTAGAACTTTTTTATGGCCATGAGGTCGGTGAGCCTTTAACTCAAAATGTGGTCACTCTGAACATGCAACCAAAAAATGTCATGGGGCCTGTCAACTCGTTGCTTATGGCATTGGCAAAGTATGTTCTAACATTCATTTCCTTTGGTGGGAGCTAACTTGTAGTTGATTCACTGGCTGGCTATACCTAAAATCCTGAATTAGGGCTTTGTAGATATGTCAATGCAAAACATACACATATTTTGTATTTTACACAGAGTTGGCTGATAACAAGTATCTAGTAAATATCACAAGATTTAAAAGTATGTACGTGCTTATTTATATAATACACATGGCTCACTCCTTTTAGTTACATGATACCTACTCACGTAGACGCTACTATGAAAAGCTGAAACAATTATTTTCTTACCTTGATATGAAACTCAACTTTACTTTTCCTTTGTGTTTATTGTAATATGCAACAATCAAATAGTCCTTTTGTAAAAAAGAAAAGATGGTTAAAGACAGTCATCTTAACTGTTTTTTGGAGTAATTCTAATAAATAGAGTGATTATTCCCATTTTAGCCTTAGCAAAACGAAAAGTAAAGAAAGATGAAAAGTTCTGGCAAACTCAGCTTTTACTGTAGTTGTAAATACTTTTTGTTTCAGTAAGACTAGTAAGACTACTGGCCAAAGAAGACAGTTTCTAAAGGGTACCTCGTCCTCATGTCTAGGATCTGGACAGCTGTATTTGAGTGCCAGGCTTGATATACAGTAATTAGAAGATAAAACACACTGTCTGGGGCTAACAGACACAGTACCAAAAATTCAGCCTAGGTAATGACTAAACATGCCCGGACAACAGTGTATTTTCCATCAGAAGTGTAGAATGACTTTTTTGCAGTTTTGCAGAAATCCTCATTTTTTAGTGTTTAGCAATGTCACACCACCTGGACAATATCTTTCTAGCCTTCTTTATTTTTTTTTTAATCAAATTATAATTTTTCAATTATTGTTTTAGAACTTTCTTTAAAGCAGAAGAATATCTCAGCTGTTTTTATAGCTCATGATTCCCAAATAAAAGTTCAACTGCTTTTCAGAATTTCAGGGCTATGTACTGTAGTCATTAATCTAATAAGAATCCATGCAGATGAACAGAACATACTTTTTTCTAGCTTTCTCTTTTTTAAAAAAAAATTAAAGTAGGCATGGCATGCCTTTGCCATGTGCAAAATGGCGAAGGAATTGGCTGAAAACCAATTGGTTGAAATAATAGCTCAACTGATAGGATAAGTTTCAGGCAAACTGTCTTCAGGCACATGTTTCCATTATTTTCTATTATATGTTTCTTTTAATTTTACTTAGCCTGATAACCCATTTTTATTATTTTTATTTTTTATTTTTTATCAGTTGCAACTTTTATAAACAGTTTAAAGAATCAAACAGCTTTAAAAACTTGAAATAAATATCAACTTCAACCCCACCACTACACCCCCAGGCAACCATGTTGAACTCTTGTAGCAGATTCTCTGGTTAACTTTCTTAGTTCTAAATAACATGACTATTTTGTGACTTTTTCATTTTAGGCATTATCTATTAATTTCCCAGTATAAAAACGTAAGGATTTAGTTATCTTTTACTTCCTGATCCTCCACACAAATACACACTTTCTATTTGCAAATTTGGCCCTATCACAATTTCAGTTCGATCACTATTCAGTACTTATACTGATGAAATGCTATCCCATTTGTGCCACATAATATACTATTAATATGATATTTCCTTTCCTACGCAAATTCTTTCTTATTTTAATTGAACCTATGGTACACGGATAGGGTTTAATTATAATTTGTGACAGATACTTATCATTGGTCTATGCATGGCCCTCTTGTATTTATTTAACTAGCTGTTTTTAGCAATGTAATTAGCTCCCTGGAACTGACATCTGAAACGAAAGTGAGAGCCTTGAAAATAACCCACATCGAACCATCTTCTCCCCACCCACAATCAATCCATCTTTGTCTCCATTTGACTGATTTAACCAGAGTCCTGAATCATGTATTTGTCATTCCTTTACTTTCATTTTTGTATAGTTTCATTGCATCTATATGTATTCCTACAGATGGGGATAAACAGAGCTAGTAGATAAAAAGTATCTTTTGGGAGTTCACTTTAATGACAAGCTTTGTAATTAGGACCAATCCTTTCACTAAAACAAATTGAGATGCTAGAGAAATAGTTTTAAAAATCAATTTGAAATTACCAGAGAGATAACAAAACAGTAAAAATCTGTAAGGTCATGAGAGAAGAAACCCAGAATGTGAGCCAGGAATTTGGGGTGTATTCCCCTTAGTCATCTGCAGATTTTGTAAGAGGTGACTGAATAGTTGAGCAAAGCTTCTATAGACTGATAAGGCCCATAGGACAAAATTGGAGTTCAGTGCTCACCAAGCAAGAGGGTGTCTAGGATATCTCCCTGGTTTTAGATTGAGGTAATTAAAAGCTAAATCCTACAAGTAAAGTGGAACTAGACTCATCCTCAGAGAGACTGAAGCCCAGATGAAATTTTCTCACTGCTCTAAGGGATTAAGGTGATCCAATATTGCCAGTGCCTTTAGCAGTCTTCTGGAAACAAGCTCAAGTTTTTGCTAGAGTAAGAAGACCTCATCTCAGACCTCAAAATATCTGCACAAGCTTTCATATAAAATGACTGGCACTCAAACCAAGGTAACCAAATACATAACAACATGATGAAAAACCAAGAGAAACAACAGATGATAGAGGATGAAGATCATGGAGTTATGAAACCTAGACTTTAAAATAATTTTGGTTAATATGTCCAAAGAAATAAAAGATGGCAACTTTTTTTAAAAAAATGGAAGCTACAAGAAAGAAAATAAAAAATCTAAAACTTAAAAACAATAACTTATATTAAGACCCAATGAACAGATCTGACAACAGATTAAACACAGTTTTCAACATAGTGGATGGGAAGATATATAGATTGGATAAAAATATCCTAAACGAAGCAAGATAGAGGAATGAAATAAAGGAATATATTTTTTTTCCTGTTGTTTCTTGTGGCTTTCTTCTGTAAGAAACATAGAGAACACAGAAGGGGAGAAGGAAAATTGGACAGAAGTAATACTTGACGAAATAATGATCTAAGTTTTGCTAAAAAGGATGAAATATGCCAAACTGCAGATTCAAGTCATACTATAAATCACAAGCA